ACCTGTATTAATTGATCACGAATTAATTAATTGGCAGTTGGAATTCGATATTAGAGTAGGCGATAGTGCCGCTTTCCGGGCAAAATTTCTCTCATAGCACACTGTATGGCGTATGCCCGTCTTCATCAGCCCAGTCGGAGCAGAACAGTAGGAAGTTAAACCCCATTTCATTTCATTTTCTCTATTAAATTTTGTGTATTCGTTAACATGAGATCGATACTTTATTTTGACCGCCTCCAACACCACTAACAAATGTAAGAGAGAGAGAGAGAGAGAGAGAAATGGGGTTTAACGTCCACTCGACACAAACTAGGTCATTTCGGAACTAAAATTTGCTTTAATTTTTTATTTCAATAATTCGCTTGCGCGTTGGGGTCTTTAGCAGTGGGAGGAAACCTGAAGACCCGGAGAAAACCCACGAGGTTGGACACGCGACCCTACTCCTTGTCACGTACAACCGGGGATTTGAAACCACGCAAGTTGACTCAATGACAGACCATATGATACAGCGCGCACGTGCTAACCATTTGACCACCCAACCTCCCCTTTAACAACTAAGACCGGATACTTTAATAACCGTATACTTTATTTTGACTTTCTTAAACACTCCCAACAATTATATCGAATTCCAACTGCCAAGGGATCTTTTACGTGCATTCTAATGTATACACGGACCTCGGTTTTTCGTCCCATCCGAACGACTAGACAGCTGTCCTTGTCAGGCCCTCCATCCTGCATCACTGACAAGGGGGCTCCCAACAAGTACTAACCAATATCTTTGGCCACTCACGGTTAGTACGAAATGTTGGCCAGCTCAATTTTTCGTCATAGGTCACAAGATGTAAACAGGGCTAGCACTAATCCCTACCCTAACCCTGGACCTAACCCCAATGCTTACCCTAAACCTAACCCACAATCCCGCCAACAATCACGTGCCCTAACCTTATTTACATCTCAACGACCGTGACAAATATTGAGCTGGCCTTAACCAATAGATTTAGCCACATGCAATATTTTGGGCCACACAGGGATTCGAGATAAACATTACGAATAGGACAATTGAGATATGACACATAATTGTTAATAACCACGTGTCTGTACGTAATACATTAATATCACACAGTAATGTTACGTCCTAAAAAAAACATAGATTATCATATAAAAATTGGAAAACAATATTAGTTCATCTTTCTTTTGTTCTTAACATCTTGGTTCAAATCAACCCAGAGTACAACAAAATAATCATTTTCTATAAAACGAAAACGGTTGGACATTTTTCTTGTTGGCCTTTCCGTGGCCTTAACATAATAGTGTTCAAAGTAGTTTATCAGTAAGTATATCGATATACCAGCAGTTAATGAAAAAAATACAACTTAGAGATAGTACATTGTTGTGAATTTTCCTTTGATCAAAACCACATGGTGCTGAAATATTAGAATTTGTTTTTTGTTTGTTTGGTTTTTTTTTATCGAATAGGAAACTATGTGCATCGTTTTGAATTTTTATTATAATAACCAACGTCTCGATTATTCATTTGTGCGGTTATTTCATCAATCACAAAACGTATTCAAATCTACTAAATATTGAAGTCATCCAACGGCATCGAGAGTTGATTATGGTCTTGGTAAGCTAATTAATGTCTAATTAATAATTTATATAAAATTTTTCAGGCCTAAAGAAAGACCTGCAATAGGCAGATTTAGCGCTTGCATAAAGTATGTTTAAGGCTAGCAATGACATCGAGAGTCGATTATGGTCTTTTCATGTTAATAAATGTCTAATTAATAGTTTATATGACATTTCAGGCCTAAAGAACGACCTGCAATAGGCAGATTTCGCCCTTGCATAATGTATGTTTAATAAACCGATTGTTTAAGGAATATAGATTGTTATACATGTATATATTTACCGTTAATTGTTGATATTGGTCGATATTTAGCTGTACTAAATCCATGAACTTGAATATAGACTAAAAGGCTATATATAGTTGTATTTAATCGATAAATTTAAATACTATAGTTTACGAGATATTACCACAAATCGGTATTTTCTCGGAGTGTTGGAACCGAGAGGTTGTCGCCAACGACAAATCGAACTTTTAGCAAAATATTATCCTTAGTTTAGTGTGTGCGAGTCTGGACATATTGTGCTTTTTATGTTGATCAAGTTAACAATCTATGGATATACGAGTATAGAAGCCATGGGCATGACGGGACCGGTTATTGTTTCAGTTTTATTGTAGGTCACACACCGAATAATTTATCATTTATATATATATAAATAAGTCAATATAAGTATATACGTAATAGGAAAACAGCTATAAGGGTAATTTTACAGCGTCACTATGGGGAGGTGGGTGGGCATAGGCGTACGAGCCAGGGGGGAGGGGGGAGGGGGATGGGCAGCTGTCCCCCTAACTTTCGGGCAAGCTGACTTTTCGGGCAGACGGGTAAAGTTAAAAGAAAAATTATTTCATCTACTTGGCAAAATAAAGGACCCGAAATCTATAAAACACTAATTTTACGGGCTTGAATAGCAGTAATACGCGTTTGCGGCCGTCAAATATTCCAAAAATTTCTTGGGCGTTCCATACAAGGTCAGCTCCGCTTCTTCACCTCTCGAAGAAAACCGGCGCCGCTGTTTGTAAACCTGAAATTTTTTCGGGCATTTCTAGTTTTGCTTCCCTAACTGTCATCGAGCCCTAATAAAACACTAATTTTACTTTTCTTGTAATTGAATATCACGAATTTGTACTGAGTTGACTATGGATTAAAACATTTTGTCTGGAGCCACTCTACTTTGTGCGATATTTTTCGGGCATCGATTATTATTTGTGAATGCAGCTGCAACAATCTGATTGGATGGTTGGAATTCAGAATGGGATTTCGGTTACAAAACCATTGGATACTTTTGGAGTTGCTTATATACACAGGCTAAAATAGCAGAAAACACATTTGTGTTGGTTAAATTTTCTAAATTTTCTCCGGGAGGGTGAGGCCCCCATACCCCGCGACGATTGATTGGTTTTTTGGAATTCGTGCCAGCCAGGTAGGCTTTATTGGACCAAACTGAAGTTGCTGTATTCACGGGCTGGAATAGCAAGAAAACGCGTTTGCGGCAGTTTAATTTTCAAAATTTTCTCCCAACGGTCCCGTCTCCGTGGATTAGAATTCGAGTCAGCCATCTTGATTAGGCTATATTAGACCACTTTGAAGTTGCTTTGTTGTTCGGTGGCTTAAAGAGAGGAAAATGTGTTTGCAGCCGTCAAATATTCCAAAATTGTCTTTTGGGGGAGGGGGGGGGATGTTCCATACAAGGTAAGCTCCGCGTCTTCGCCTCTCGAAGAAGACCGGCGTCGCTGTCTGTAAACCCAAAATTTTTTTCGGGCATTTCGGGTTCTGCCCCCCTAACTGTCATCGAGCCCGTACGCCTATGGGGGGGGGGGGTGTCTTATTTGACTTTTGGGTGAATAAATCGACATAATGAAGGGGACTAATTGGGTTAACGTTCGTCATTGAGTTTAAACTTTTGCTCCCCCTTTATATTTTTCGCCTCCTATCAAATTGCGGTTTTCAGCTTTATTGACACGCCATTACTATCTCTGTTCAAACATTATTACAGGTGTGAACGCATGTTCCTCGCAGCTCAGGGCGGGGGTGGTTGGGGAGAGGGGGTAATCGAAACCCCTAACAATACAAATATTCAGTACTTTTTGTTCTAAAAAAAAATCAATGTTTACCACGCCCCTTAGTTACACGTTTTCTAGATACTACTTCCACTTTGTAAAAAACATTCAATCCAACGATTATTGGGGAAAATGTTTTGGCCGATCAAAGAGACGAAAATTAACATTAAAGGCAACGCGTAAGTCTATGGTGACCCGAGGCCTGTAAAAAGTGTAGTCTAGATTAAGTTGAGACAAGAACTACCAGTGTGTACCAGTTGACGTAAAGGTTGTATCTTTTTCCCTGTATTAAATCATTGACAGTTATATAAAGGTCATTGGTGTTTACTCCACAGCTGAAATAATGACGTCATGGATATGTGTACACTCGGTTGGCCCAGCTTAGTTAAATGATATGTAGTCCTGTCTTGAAAGTTACGTTATTTATCGCACACCTCGCCTGTCCAACCTCGTGGGTTTCCTCCGGGTACTCCGGTTTCCTCCCACTGTTAAAGATCCCTACGCGCAAGCGAATTATTTAAATAAAATTCAACCATATGTCCATTTTTTGTTGGCCGAGATTGGGGCATAATTGTATAGTAAAATTTACTATAGGTATATAGATCACGCACAAGACAGCTGTCTAGTCCTTCGGATGGAAGGAAATACCGAGGTCCCCCGTACACATTGGCGTGCCGTAAAAGACCATTGACAGTTGGATATCTCAATAAGAGTAGGTTGTAGTGCTGCTGCCTGGGCAAATTTTTTCTCATAGCACATTGTGTGACGTATGCCCTTCGTCATCAGCCCAGTCGGGGTAGAAAAGTAGGACATAAGACCCTATTTCATTTCTTATATAAGTAATTAATTGTGGTCTGAAACTAAGTTAAGCTTGGAAGAGTTACACCCCTTTAACTGTCAACGTTAGCTGAATGAATAAATGGAGAACATTGGGCCAATCTGATTAAACTAGATTCTATTTCGTTTCTTTTTTAATAGTTCAAAATTTCGTTTTACTTGTCTTTATTACACTAGGTTCCAGAAGAGTTGTTATATTACCGGCGTTTTGGTTCAAGTGAGGGATAAGCCAATGAAACAGTCTGTTACGGCGACTGTGGGTAAACCACTACAAACGCCAACGCTGATTGATTAATCAATGTCTGACGTCAGAGGGTCAAAAGCCGCTTGTACGACCCCTGACACGACCTTCGAGTACAACATGTCAGATCTTCATGTAGTGCGGGCCATCGAAAGTATAAAAAAACGAAACGAAATATAGATCTGTATTTTAATCAAATTGACACTAAGCCTATATTTATTTCAATTCTCTTTTCAGAAACGGAAGAGTTGCATATAAAACAAGGACTTGGATTACACAGAACAAAACAACATGAATTGGTTAAGGCAAACTTTTAAATATTTTGGGTGGTTCTCATCGTCAGATGAACAGCCTTTGAAAGACGATTTTCACCGGCGAAACCTTGGTGCTTATAGCGAGGAAAACTTATCCAAGAAAACACCAGAAACTGTGGAAACGATCAAAACATTTGCTAAAAAGTATCCGTTAAATACCAGCGAACAGTCGGGGGAAGTGTCAACGCCTCCTGGAAATGTGTCCGGAGCCGGAAATTCCCCGAAAGGAGCGGAGACAACGAATAAAGAAAACAGTGCAATACAGAGTGATCGATTAATACACGAACAAAGTGATATTTTAATAGACAGGACTCGACTCGATGAGGTAGATTTACACGGTGATACGATTGATATCATAGATTCTTGTGAATTAACTGAAAACGAACCCACGGGTGTAGAGGTGGCAGAAAAACAAGAGAAAAAGAAATCAAAACGTGCTAAGAAGGTGGGTAGTTCACGAAAAAATACATTAGGGTGTATTATAGTTACTCATTATCTATTGGCCGAGAAAGTTCATCCAGATTTTCCGGCGTGGTTCCCCCTTGTCAGTGATGCAGGACGGATGGCCCATGTACACATTGGCGTGTACGTTAAAGATCCCCTGACAGTTGGAATTCGATATAAGAGTAGGCCGTAGTGCCGCTGCCTGGGCAAAATTTCTCTCTCATAGCACACTGTATGGCGTATGCCCGTCTTCATTAGCCCAGTTCGGAGCAGAACAGTAGGACGTTAAACCCCATTTCATTTTATTTTACTCATTATTTGTAGTAATAATAATAATAATAATAATAATAATAATAAAGTTATTTATATAGCGCCTATTCCATGCCGCCGAGGCGTACTCCAAGTGCTTCTAATGTCACACCGGATAAGCTTGTTGAAACAGGTGTGTTTTTAACTTTTCCCTGGAGTCAGGTAATGTTTTGGCACGTTTGATGGAGCTGTTCAAATGTTTGTCATTCCACGAAGTTGGAGCAACAATGCCAAACATTCGATCACCATAGGTTACTAGGTTTGATGCAGGCAATTTTAGGATCTGTAACTACCGGAATAATAAAGACGGGAATACACCATGAGGTGTGCTATAAAGAACGATCTGCCCGAACAGTGGCGTTTGCGAACACGCACCATCAACTACCAGCTGTTTAGAGGTTTAGTTACTGCATGCCAACGAGTACAGCAGCACGGGTGGACCTCGGTTTTGCGTCGCTTTTCTTTGCAGCACTGGGCACTGACCAGTGGAAACAACCAACGTTTCCGAATCGTAACACTCATGTACAATAGTAATGCGTCACTAACGGCTCTAGAGTCATTCCTACTAGTGTGTACGTAGTGTTCATATTACAGTTTAGCCATGACTACCGAGGACTGATTTCCTTACGTGATTAGTTAGACTAAAGCGAAAAGTTACCACGTATTACAGAGAGAGAGAGAGAGAGAGAGAAACCCACTTGACACAAACTAGGTTGTGGGACTACAAGTGCGCGTAGTGTTCTTTAGCAGTGAGAGGACACCGGGGAAAAATCACCCACGAGGTTGGGCAGATATTCTTACTACTTGCCACATACAATCCTGTGACCTCAACCACGTGACTTGACTCACCGAAATAATTACCCAGGTTTTGTTTTAAATATTTCAGGTACGGAAGCGAGTAAGGTGGGTTGTAAGAAGAAGTTGGAAATGGTTAAAGCGTGGCTGGTCAGGGTATGCACCAGGGGTGGCATCAGGTTTAATGTATTGTTCTAATGCCCCGGCAACCATCTTTAATATATATAACAATAAATAATCACAAATCTGGCGTATTTCAGGGGTAATCTGTTGTGAAAACAATCGTAAAATATGTAATACGCAACTTAATCGCGCGCCCTGGCGCATGTATGACAATCAGTGAGAGCTTATTAATGTTATTTTACAAGCAGCAAAATAGTACAGATTTAATACATTATGTCACTTTCATATTGCCACCAAATGACTGGTTATACTGGATAAAGGGTTTTGGTTATGAATATCCGGTAGTGCCCTTTCATATTGCCAGAAAAACAACTGGTTGTACTGAAGAAACGAATCTAGTTACGAATATCCAGTAATGCTCTTTCACATTGCCAAGAACACAACTGGTTATACTGGACACAATCCTAGTTGTGCAGAGATGTGTTTTTACATAGCAGAAATCCTGAAGATCCAAGATGGCCGCCATAATATATTTGGAGGAAGTGGTAATAAGTAATATTTGGGGAAAGGCTTTTGTCCGGAACGTGCAACGTATATCTCAAAATGCCTAACTATTAGCTTGGCGACATATGATACCCAAGAAGATAATTTCTTAAATTTAAGGCTCGATTCGTCATTCGCATTTTCGCTAAACTACCAAATTTCTCACGGCTTAATCCACGCTAAACATTTAATTAAGAAAGCAAATTAAAATACCAACGCTAGATAATCGATTTAATCAGATTTATAAGAGGTCTATCATTTAATTTTCGTGGACAACAAGATGGCGGCGGGCGTATTATACAGCGAGCAGGCGGAGCAACATAGATCGATGAAATTTCAATTATACATATCTTTGAAATGGGGTTTAACGTCCTACTGTTCTGCTCATAACCTGGGCCAATGAAGACGGGCATACGCCATACAGTGTGCTGTGAGGGAAATTTTGCCCGGGTAGCGGCACTATGGCCTACTCTTATATCGAATTCCAATTGTCAAGGGATCTTTTATGTGCACGCCAGTGTATACACGGGTCCTCGGTTTTTCGTTGACAACGATACGTGTCGAAACGTCGCGCTTTTAGAATAAAATCAGTGATTGATAACCCATAAAAATTGTGTTATGTTTGGAGATTCATCTTTCACATTATGTGAGCTGCTCCCACAAAACCAGACTCTTGAACATTTTTATAAAAATAGAGCTGGTAGCATATCTGAATAGTAAACAGCCTAAGCTTTCCAAAAATACAATTCTTTTTAATGTTGTCGTATCATCTAGAGTTCGGCTCATTCAAAGCAACAAGAAGGCATACAGTTAATGTTTTTGTGCCCGTAGTACAAAATGAAGTTGTGCGAGAAGCTCCAGTTTTCGTGGGAGCGGGTCACATAATGTGATTCCTATAACACATCGAGAATTTAAAGTTGCAATTTCATATTTTTAAGTTATATTTTTAAAATGTATTAAAATAAAGCCTTAAAATAGATGGTATCTATAAACAGTCCTACCTAGTTAGGAATAATCCTATTAATCCTATAATTCACTATTGCCAGTTGAGAAATTGGCAAAAATATCTTTTTCAACTTCAAATTCAAACGTTTGAAGATAGCTATTCCATGGGGGAATAGAAAAACAAGGGAAGTAATTGTGTTATTATTTCCTGTGTCAATTATTTTGAAGTGGGAGAATAATACCTATGATGGTATAATAGTGAGTCGACAACCTATTGAGCAAAAGACATAGAAATAATTATGTTTTGACTTTCTTAGAAAATATGAAATTATCGCTTTAAGATAGCTATGGATCTGTGTTATGTTATTCGGAATGACTTGTATTATCATACTTACTATTCAATATGCATATTAATTTAGATATTTTAACAAATTAAGCAGCAATATTCTCGACAAATCCTCATTGTTAATCCCGGGATAAATTCGCTTACATTAAACGATATTTTGGTTGCCATCTAATTTAAGGGTTATTATGACCAGCGTCTTCCCCTCGGTCATTTGGAGCTAGTTATCCTTGGTAATAGCCCGATTATTGTATTACTGTATTAAAGCGAGAGAGAGAGAGAGAGAGAGAGAGGGGGGGGGCGGATCGGTTGGACAGGCGACCCTACTCCTGTCGGGAATCGAAACCCCGCCAGTTTACTCAATGACAGATCTTATGATACAGCGTGCACGTGCTACCCCCCCCCCACACACACACGTATTATAGCAATGATCGAGGCTAGATACCCCGCCAACACTTCTTTTACCACATGACCGACCTTTAAGTGTGGCGTCGATAGCACGTGCATTGTTTACATCGGACATAGTAATACAAACTGATCCGAGCAGAATTGGTCCCTTTTACTCATTATGTGCCTCCGCCTACTGTTTTATATACCCATTTACAAATGTCGAGATTGGCCACGATAACCAATAAAATATAATCTGGTATTTACCAGGGGCAGGTAACTCTAGTGGACTGGGAGAAAAGCTAAGACTTCCGCAATATTTACATATCTGATAGTAATAAAATTGCTTGCCAGAAACAACGATGTATTTTATTGTATTATGTTATTCTTTTGTCTATTTGAAAAATAATTCTTAAATAAAATATTTGAAAATAATCATTAAAAAGGGTTATTTGTGAGAATACTGCATCATATGAGCAAATTCATAGATTAAATAGCGAGAGAGAGAAATGGGGTTTAACGTACACTCGACACAAACTAGGTCATTTCGGGACTAACACATGGTTCAATTTTATGTCAATAATTCGCTTGCGCGTAGGAGTCTTTAGCAGTGGGAGGAAACCGGAGGGCCCAGAGAAAACCCACGAGGTTGGACAGGCGACCGTATGAAACAGCGCGCGCGTGCTAACCCCCCCCCCCCCCCCCGATAGATTAAATACCTGTTCCCCCGGCTATAAAACCCTCTTTTATTACCCACATTTCAGTCCCTGTTGGGGTTCCCTCCCATTTCGACTACGTCCCATTTCGACTACATCCCATTTCGACTACACCCTATTTTGACTACACCCTATTTCGACTACGTCCCCCAACTAATCAACAATGAACTGTTCAGACGATTAAGAAATAGGGTGGGGGGGGGTACCGCTGTAGGCTATGCAAAAATGGAATGGACTTCAACTTCCCACTTGTTCTGTAACAACCGGACTAGTGAGGAATGGTTTATAATTGTCAGGGGGTCTTTAACGTGCCGCCCATTGTATACACGTGACCTTGGTTGTTCCTCCCATCCGAGCAACTAGACTCATTTCCTTGTCAGACTTGCCTTCCTGACACTGGGGGGAACGAGGCTGGAAATTCCCAAGGAACTGGGGATGAAACCCGAGAATGTCTCTGTTTATATAACAACGCTAACAGTATATCAGTATTATCTCCTCACAACGTGTGAAATGTGGGTGAGTAGAGTCCCTGTGGTCCTACAATATATTGGTTTCGATTCCCCGCTTGTACGTGACAAGGACTGGGATCGCATGTCCAATCTCGTTGGTTTTCTCCAGGTCCCCCTGTTTCCTCCCACTGCTAAAGACGCCTGCGCGCAACGGAATTAATGAAATAAAATTGTACCATGTGTTAGTCCCGATATAAGCGTTTTGGGTGGTCGAATGGTTAAAGCGTGCGCGTTGCATCAGAAGGTATGTCATTGAGTCAAGTGGCAGGGTTTCGATTCCCCACTTGTATGTAACATAGAATAGGTCACCTAGGTTCCGGAATTGAATTCTGTCAACCCCCCCAAAAAGTGACAATCGAATGAAAATGGGGATGTGGGGCTAGACCACATGCGCCAACTACATGAGAAAATATCTCAACCAACCGTGACAGCTGAAACAAACTTGCTGTGTTTAATTACGTCACCATTCTACTCGCACCACCAGACTGGCAAAACTGTGACAGGACTGAATTCCGTCTCACTCGATTGCAATTCTGTCAATTCGGAACATTCCGGCCTGGCAATCGAGCATCCCTATATTCTTTAATAACAATACCGTATTAAGGGTGGATAACTCTGTAAAGCTTACCGGACCAGGACTAGTTGCACGGACACAACTCTGTCACCCACGAAACAAGGGCCAAAGCTATATTTAGTCTTTCTCCCCCTTTCTCTTTGCATAGCGATCTTTGTTGACTTTTTGGTGTAGAGTTGAAGAAATGGGTTTGAATGTACATTTTCTGCCAGGTTTTGGTGAATATTCATGATTTTGTGGCGGAAGGATACAAGAGTTGAGAGGTTGGTTAGGTTGAAATATAGGACCTGAAATTGCATGTCTCTACTTCCAGCTTGTGTATCTCAAGTTTTTCATGAAGAACCTCATACGTGATATTGGGCAAGAGGTTGCCACATGTTGCTCCATCTGTGGTAGAAAGCGTTCTACCCAATGAAGATTTGGGAAAAAATAGATAATGACAAAAAACGAATAGTAATAATAATAACAAAAGTCAAACATATAGATGTTATACATATTTGAAATCAGCGAAACATACTACAGATTTTAATATTACAATTAATTATAAATGAATTAGTACATTATTTTCATAAATCATTCAGTAAATGGACATGAATAGGGCTATCTACCCTTATAAAAACGAACGCGAAATACAGGCCGTTTCATTAGTAAGAGTGGTTTGTAAACTGTTTTTCAATGGTTCGTAGACTTTAGCTACAATCAAGGCCAGGGCAGATAATTTTAAATTGTGGAAACCCTATGGATTAACTCAGGGTATAGTGGAGTAAAACGGAATGGCACCACTGGGGATATCGAGGATGAACACTGAAGGACGCCATTATTATTATTATTATTATTTCAAATTTATATACCCCCCCCCCTCTCACATACCTGTTCAGGGGTGCATTACAATGTTACAATTACAAATAAAAATAAAAATATATACTTAATAACAACAATGAAAAGATTCTAAGATTGGGAAGCTTTTATAAATAAATGTTAAATATCAAAAAATTGATATTAAACTATAAACAGTATTTCAAGGTAGTTTATTCCATAAACGAGGTGCTTGAACAGTAAATCACCAAAAGTTCAAAGTTTTGCAGAGTTTCGTTTTAAAAGCAATTGATTATCAGTATATCTTTCATATGATTAAAACACAGATCCTATTTCGTTTCGTTTTTTTTTTATAGTTCAGAATTTCGTTTTACTTGTCTTTACTACACAAGGATTTGGAAGACTTGTTATATAACCTTCGTTCTGGATGATGTTAGGGATTAGCCAATGAAACGGTCTATTACGGCGACATTTTGGCGTGAGGTGCTCGGAACTGTGGGTAACCAACTAGAAACATTAACACCGATTGGTTAATCAAATGTCTGGCCTCATAGGATCGAAAGCCGCTCGTATGACTTTTGGCGCGACCTTCCACTACAACCGGTCCGATCTTCATGTTAGGTAGGTCATCGAAAGTATAAAAAAAAAACGAAACGAAATATAGATCTGTATTGTAACCAGATTGGAAGATCTTAGACTTCTTCTTGGTATATACATTTCTAAAAGTTCCGATAAGTATAAGATGTGCTGCGGCAGTGTTTTGTACTTTCTGAAATTTATCAATCAGTTTTAAAGGTAAGCCGGCTAACAAAACGTTAAAATTGTCTAAACGAGAGGTGATCAAAGCATTAACAAGAGTCTTAATTACATCTAAACCTATATAGAATAACAGATTGCACACAAGGATTATTAACTTGACATTTTAATTTTACATTTTTATGAAAGACGGCACTAATATTACGAGCAGATTATGTTGAAACAATATCATTACTACTAATAACCAAAGGTGAAGCATAATTTGATTTTGACAAATGCTTGTTTGAGAGAGAAAGAGAGAGAAATGGGGTTTAACGTCCACTCAACACAAACTAGGTCATTTCTGGACTTACACATGGTTTTAATTTTATTTCAATAATTCGCATGCGCGTAGGGGTCTTTAGCAGTGGAAGAAAAACAAAGCACCTGAAGAAAACCCACGAGGTTGGACAGGCGACCCTACTTCTTGTCACGTACAACCAGGGAATCAAAACCCCGCCAGTTGAATCAATGACAGACCGTATTGAAATAAAATTGAACCATGTGTTAGTCCCGAAATGACCTCTTTTGTGTCGAGTGGACGTTAAACCCTCTCTCTCGAGCTTTGTTGGTTTTCTCCGGGTCCTCCGGTTTCCTCCGGTTTCCTCCCACTGCTCAAGACCCCTACGCGTAAGCTAATTATTGAACTAAAATTGACCTCTCTCTCTCTCTCTCTCTCTCTCTCTTTGGCAGAATATTTATACAGACAATGGAAATAAAAAGTGAAAAACCATTCTTGGTTGTCCTTAAACAGATTCTGGTATATACAGTCGGTACCGAATGGTGGACCTTTAAAATCTGGTACTAATAAGCTTAGGAATGACATGTCGTCTATGGAAAGCCAGCATAGTATCTCGTAATTTGTTCCAGAATGCTTGATCAAACCTCACCCTTACGACGACCACAGGTGACTGAAGATTGGTGTACAAAACAAAATCGCACCATTGACATCCTGTTATAGCCATTTCCATCTGTACCTGGTAGTAGGCTCTATGATCAGTCTTCAGGTGTGGTCGGTTTCCTCTCATCTCTAAAGGAAAATAGGGACTGTCCTCCTTGGTAAGAATCGCCTCAAACGGGGTCATATCTCTAACACTAAATGGACATTTGACTTCCAGAACCCCCTTTCCTCCATACCCTTCTGTGACGATACCGTCAGGAGTCGCCGCTAGTTCGCCATGTTGTAAATCCACCATTAAACCACATTCCGAGAACGTGAATATGTCTCCCTTTTGTTTCTTGTAGTCTATATATTTTTTAATGGCGTTTGGTTCCTGTTCATTCCCATGCAAAGAAGCTGCATCTCTAACATAATTTGTTGCCATGATGTCTTGTACTATGTCATAAGGGGAATCCCCTTGTAAAATTCTGTAAGCTTTAGAGGCTGTAATGCGCCCCTGTCTCTCTTTGAACCACCGTGGACTGTATGTCTGACCTCGGGTAGCTCGCTCAATTTCGTCCTGTTCATCACGGTTTACCTGAAGAAATGAAAATAAAAAGGGGTTTAACGTCCTACTGTCCTGCGCCGACTGGGATACCGAAGACGGGCATAAGCTCGATACATGTTGGCAGGACAGCGGCGCTATGATCTACTCTTATTTCCTATTTCGAACTGCCAAAGATTCTTTTATCTACACGGCTACATGTACACGGGGAATTTTTTTTCGCCCCATTTGAACTACTGGATTGTGTCCCTTGCTCCCTCCTGCACCAGTGACAAGTGCACACCACGCTGGAGAATCCGAGGGACTTTTTAAGCCAACCCCGATAGCGAAGCCATGATATTAAAAATTAAAAAAAAAATGCCAACAATCCAATTGTGTGTTTTGTCCAATAAATTCATAACTAATTATGCGCGATACTATAATTAATGATTTTCACCTGAAGTTTTCGACAAATAGCGGCACCTATCGACGACTGGTCTATTCCTCCATATTGGTTGAACGCCATCTTTGATTTTCCTCCAAATATTTTGATGGGTTTTTTTTAATCTAGAAAAGAGTTTTATATATATATTTATCGTTGATGTTACACTTAACGTATACAGTTTCACATATATTATATATTATTATTGGTCTACTTATTCAACAAGAAGGAAGTTACTCAAATATCTATTTTATTTTTACACGTGTGACGGCGTTAAGGTGTATTAAAGGTCCGATTAGTCATTTTTTTCGGGGGGGTTGGATGGCTGAATGGTTAGCGTGTGCGCGCTGTATCATAAAGTCTGTCATTGAGTCGAATGGCGTGATTTCGAATCCCCGGTTGTACGTGGCAAGGAGTAGGGTCACCTGTCCAACCTCGTGGGTTTTCTCCGGGTCCTCCGGTTTCCTCCCACTGCTAAAGACCCCTACGCGCAAGCGAATTATTGAAATAAAATTAAACCATTTGTTAGTCCCGAAATGACCTAGTTTGTGTAGAGTGGACGTTAAACCCCATTTCTCTTTCTCTCTCTATTCATTTTTTTCGTACAAACCAGTGAGGTGTTACATAGAAATAGAAGATGTTAATACAACCGTCTTAATCCTAGGTTCCCACTATCAAGATTAGCGCCAGGGATTTTCCAAATTCTCTTTGAGGTGGGGATGGGGGGTGGCGTTCTCCAGGGTAAGCTCTGAACCTTCGCCTCCCTCAGACGACCGGCTCTACCGTCTGTAACCCGAAATTCTTTCGAGCATGTCACGTTCTGCCCTCTCCCCCCGCAAACATTTATCTAGCCCGTACGCCTATGAAAATCCACACTATCATATTTTGTTAGGGCTAATGTGGATGGGCATATCGCAAGCTGTGTGTTATGAAGGAAATTTTGCCCGGACAGTGGCGTTACGGCCTACTTGTATTTAGAATTCCAACTGCCAAGGGGTCCCTTAACTACACGCCAATGTGTGCGCGGGACCTCGGTTTTCCACCCCATCCGCACGACCAGACATTTTATTTGCTAGGCCATCCGTCCTTTACTACAAACAACGGGAAATCTCTCTGGCAATCCCGAGGAAACTTCTCGGTTAACCCCTGAAGCGAACCCGATTTTCATTTAATAAAATGTTACCCTTCGAATTAGATAGAATTTAGATGCAGCGCCATTATTGTTAACATTAAACATCTGCTGTGAATTCCAATCTCTAGCGACTAAAACGCCCACTCGACACAAACTAGGTCATTTCGTGACTAACATATGGTTCTATTTTATTTCAATAATTCGCGCGTAGGGGTCTTTAGAAGTGGAAGAAAAACAGAACACCCGGAGAAAACCCACGAGGTTGGACAGGCGATCCTACTTCTTGTCACGTACAACCGGGGAATCGAAACCACGCCATATACATTGGCGTCCAAGTAAAATATCCCTTGGCAGTTGGAATTCAATATAAGAATAGGCCATAGTGCTGATGCCCGCTCATGGCACACTGTATGGCGTATGCCCGTCTTCATTAGCCCAGTATAGGAGCAGACTGCAGAACAGTAGGACGTTAAACCCCATTTCATTTCATTTCACCTGACTTTCTGAGCCACCTGTCGAAAGTATAATCGACTAAAGTTCTATTACACGTACATATCAACTAAAATACTCACTGTAACTCTGTACTATTAATCCGCAGTCTCTGACTGTATTGTTAATGTATCCAACACTGCTATTCCTAGAATGTGTCTTAAATTCTTGGAAGTGGAAGTGAAAGTAAAATAAATCTACGAATGAACGAATCCACAAATGAACGAACGCTACGTAATAAGCAGCATAATATTATTATGGATTTATGGTCAACCTAACTGAAATATTATATGCATTGTGAATTATTTGGCAATTTGCCAAAGTCGTATCATCGCTTGCTGGTCTATGTAGTGCGTCGTTTCAACGTTTACTACGCAAAGATTGACCCGCGGTGGCTCAGTGGGTACACCGGAGATCTCGGGATCTTCCATCCTGGTTTCTCCTTCCCCAGTTGTGCACGACGAAAGACAAAGGAACCTTGACGGTTGGGATTCGAATTAATAGTAGACCGTAGTGCCGCTGTTCGGGTAATATAGTCCTCATAGCGCTCTGCATGACGTATGTCGGTCTTCGTTGTCCCAGAGAGAGAGAGAGAGAGGGGGAGAGAGAGAGGGGAGGGGGTGTTAACGCCCACTCAACACAAACTAGGTCATTTCGGGACTAACATATGGTTCAATTTTATTTCAATAATTTGCTTGCGCGTTGCGATCATTATGACAGACCTTATGATCAAAAACGGACTGGTTAAACCATTCCGGCCACTCAATCCCACAAATATTGCAATTCTGTATTTTTAGTGAGTGTTTCGTGGTTACACCTTGTCAGTGGTGCAGAACGAAGGCCTGACAAGGACAGCTGACCGAGGTCCCGTGTATACATTGAAATGCACGTAAGAGATCCCTTGTCAGTTGGAATTCGATATAAAAGTAGGCGATAGTGCCGCTGCCCGGGCAAAATTTCCCTCATAGCACACTGTATGGCGTATGCCCGTCTTCAGTAGCCCAGTATAGGAGCGGAACAGCAGGACGTTAAACCCCATTTCATTTCAATTCATTTCATTTTTATGAGTGTTGTACAACTATAATGGGTTGTCCCCCTTTTATTGAACGACGTGAAGTTAGTTGGTGCGGATCCAGAGAGGGGTTTAGAGGGTTCAAACTACCCCCTGTTCAGCTACAGACATTGTTTGTAAAAAAACCAAAAAAACACTGCTTATGAGAAAAGTGTCACGGGCGTGTGCTTTATGCTTTATCATCAGATGGTGGGATGGGTTGGGCATTCAAAGCGCGAGATAATGATATAAACATATGTGATATCACAATTAATATATGATCGTATTTATTTATAATAAAAATTGCCGTCAAACGGGATGTTTGGGTTTTTCCCTGTCTTTAAAAGCTGAGTGCGTTTGTATATACGAGAAAAAGACGAAAGAGACATGTATTTCCCCAAATTTCCCAACCGAGTTCCCGTGTATACATTGGCGTCACGTAAAAGATCCCTTGGCAGTTGGAATTCGATATAAGAGTAGGTTGTAGTGCCGCTATCCGGGCAAAACTAACCTCATAGCACACTGTATGGCGCATACCCGTCTTCATTAGCCCAGTATAGGAGCAGAACAGTAGGACGTTAAACCCCATTTCATTTCATGTTGCCATGAGAATATGGTATCCTAATATGCAATATTTAAGACACGATAAACATGTTATAATCAGTACACGATTTGTGTGTTCTATGGTTTCGCCAAATGTAATGAACAAAGAAAAATACATCCTTCAAGACAATGTCGAAGCAATTAGTAATGGCGGATCCACAAACGACAAAACGCGTAGAATGGATTAAGCAGGCGTAAACGACTATCCTTCCGTTTGGAATGTTCACTCACTTCAGCGACCATAATTAAGAAGAAATTGTAATAATATTATAAAAACGAATCAATCAAAAGCCACTTTATGTACATTCATGTGCTTTTAGACTCATTTTCGTGTACTTTAAAGTTTCAAAGAATAGAACCATGCAAGCTTTAAATATATTAATAACTTATTATAATACACTAATCGATGATATTTAGTTATAAATCAATCAAAAAGTATTTAGAGGGCAATATTGGTGTCAGTCATTATCATATATTGTGTGATAGAACTAGGTAAACACGTCCCAAACGGAAGTGACGAAAGCAAGAGCAAAACACGAGTTATCCTTCTATATAACTGACTGGAGTGGCGTGTGATAACAGATACACGGGCGAATTTCTGCTCACTAATAATTCCTTCGAAGACCAAAAGTTGTTATATGAGACTGTGTGAAGATATCTGATAATTCAAAAAAATAATTGACTGTCACCAGTGAAAACGAAAAATATATAAAAAATCCGTGTATTACCATATTTTTTATTAGGTATAGAATGAATAAAAACAAGGGAATGTACGGACTATTTCTATTTTGGAACGTGTTTAACCAGTTCTATCACATAATATGTGATAATGACTGAATAGAATGAATAAAAACAAGGGAATGTACGGACTATTTCTAGTTTGGAACGTGTTTAACCAGTTCTATTAAAAGTGATAATGACTGACACCAATATTGTCTTTTAAATATCATTATCGTGCTATGTTGTTTATTTTTACAGTAGCCTGTATAATAAATGTCTGATTGCTATCAATAAATCCTAGTTGATCCTAGTCTATATACCTATCATACCCACCACCACCAGGTCTAAATGTAGATGTTCCTGTAGTTGATCCCAGACCCACCTCCACCAAGTCTAAATGTTAGCAAGTGCGCGCTGTATCATAAGGTCTGTCATTGGCGGGGTTTCGATTCTCCGGTTCTACGTGACGAGCAGTAGGGTCGTCTTTCCAACCTCGTGGGTTTTCTCCGGGTCTTTCTCCCACTGCTAAAGACCACTACGCGCAAGCGAATTGCTGAGAGAAAATTGAACCGTGTTTTTATATCGAGTGGACATTAAACCCCATCTCTTTTCAAACCGGGCTAATGAAGACGGTCATACGCCATACAGTGTGCAATGAAGGAAATTTTGCCCGGACAGCGGCACTATGGTCTACTCTTATATTAAATTCCAACTATCAAGGGATCTTTTACGTGCACGCCTATGTGTACACGGTACCTCGGTTGATCGTTCCATCCGAACGACTAGACGGCTGTCCTTGACAGGCCCTCTGTCCTGCATCACTGACAAGGGGGAACCACGTCGGAAAATCTGAATGAACTTTCTCGGCCAATGGTTGAACACCCGACCTCCAGGCTAGAAAGCCAGCGTCTTACCCACTTAGCCACCGTGACCCCCAAATTAAAGGCTTTTCTTTTATCGAATTAAGTGGAGATGTCATGTGACAGTATAGTCGATTTCAAAGTACTTTGGAGAGTTCGTTAAATGCTCTGATTAGCTGTAAACAATTGTTGTGGCTGGACACAGTTGAAAAAAACACGTGAATACCCGATCAAATCGTCAAATCGCACCCTGAAGTGATTTGGCGATTTGCTGTAATCGCTTTGGAAATCGGTGTCGATAAATTCGTTGATGATTAGGGTAATCAATTTAAATTAGATTGACGTTAAAGATGAACATTTGATTGAATGCAAGTCACTTTGGCTAATCAGTGGTCGATAAAAACGCCTTAAATGGAGAGAGTTTAAGTGACTCCGGCGAGTATTGTCAACTTTAATGGAGTTGTCCCCCTTCTATCGTCAATCACCATGTATAACTTCACTTGATATTTCCGCCGAAATATAATGGGGTTTAACGCCTAACTGTTCTTCTAAACAAGACGGGCATACACTATAGAGTGTACTATTAGGGAAATTTTCCCCGGACAGCGGTGCTACGGGCTACTCTTTTATCGAATTCCAACTGTCAAGGGATCTTTTCCGTGCAGTCCAATGTGTACACAGGCCCTAGTTTTTTCGTCCCATCCGAACGACTCAAGAGCTGTCCTTGTCAAACCCTCTGTCCTGCATCACTGACAATGGACAATCTCGAAGAACTTTCTCGGCCAATACCCACGTAGCCACCGGGGCTCGTTTCGTAATTAATGTAATGGGATTTAATTGTCTTACTTTTCTGCAACAACCGGGCTAATGAAGAAGGATATACGCCATACAGTGTGCTATGAGGGGCATTTTGTCCAGACAGCGACGGGTGCGAACCTAAGACATTCCCGTTAGCGAGCCATTGTATTACTGACTGAGCCATCGCTTCCCCGAATTATTAATGGAAGCAACCACTTGACTACAGTATTTGATTTACCTTGCAACTTTGTGACCTTATCAATGAAAGTATGCAACTGATAATGTTTTCCTATCAGTGGTGCAGGATATAGGGCCTGGCATGTAACAACTTATAGTCGTTCGGATAGGACGCAAAACCAAACGCCTGAGTACACAATGGTAGTTGTAGACTGGCAGAACTATGGGAGCTATAGGGGATTATTTGATGTAGCGGTTCTTCCGGCAGATTCTGAAAGAGGACACCCTAGGCTACTAAAATCAATCATAACAAAAACTTTGTATATAATTTCCAGGTTCACTCGAAAAATTGGGTTTGGATTCGATATAAGTGTAGACCGTAGCATGGGCGTCACACATGGGGGGTCGGTGGGGGGGGTGTTTCTGGGGGGGGGGGGGGGGTTGAATATAATTTGACACCCCCCCCCAAAAAAAAAAAAAAAAATTTACATAGTAGGCCCAAACTCTTATTTATTTACAACAATTATTAGGATTAGTTAAGATTCTATCTGTATAAAACCTGTACATATCCCAATATGGTTTATACTGCTAAAATAAAACACAGAGATAATCATCCTGGAAACATGTGTGAAGTGAAAAGTAACTGTGTTCCATAAAATTGTGTCTAGTTAGCCTGTCAGTAATATTTTGTTTATTTTTTTCTGCCACTTATCAGAGTGAATCGCATGTAGGTATCCCAAAAACATAATCGCCTAAACCAAATATTTATCGCCCGCTCAGCCAGCAACGTTAGGGTTAGGGTTGCGGACCCCCCCCCCCCCCCCAATATATATTTCACGGCTACGCCTCTGGACCGTAGCGCCGCTGTCGGGGGACAATGCCGCTCATAGTATATTGTATGGCGTTTGACCGTCTTCATTAGCCCAGTGGAGAGTGGGTATGCTCGCTAGCCCGGAGGTCGCGTTCCATCACTGCATTCCACGAGAAAGTTCATTGGGATTTTAAGACGTGATTTCCCTTTGT